TTGTTGAATTTAAAGCACGAAGGCGGGCGTCTTTCTTTGACGACTTTTCAGTCATCCTTACTCTCTCTCTCTCTCTCTACTAAAATGCACAAGAGTGTGACCCGACTTTCTCTTCAGTCTTTTCTCTCATAGTGGGTGGAACCCACTACACGGACGGGGTTGCGTGCGGACCAAGCGAGCTAATTCCGTTTACACCACGCGCTTTGCGCCGTTTTCTGACGTGGACCCTACACCAAAGCGTGTTCCAGCCTGGCACCTCTTATCAAGCCACGTGGGCCGTGAACTACTTTCCACGGAGATCCCACCATGAGTTACCCAAACTCGGATACACTTTCCCCTTGTTGTAACTTTTTTTCTAATGCTTTATGGTGGGTTTTTTTTTTTTGGTGATGCTTTATAGTTGCACATATTTTACTTCTCTTTTGTATTGAAAGATTAAATACATATATTGAGAGTATTTTAGTCAATACCGGTATTTTGAAATCCCGATAGGCGGCATGGATTTTTCGATTCGCATTCGGCAATTTAGATCGGGTCTAGATTGTTCTGAATCGGTGATAAAAAAATATTAACATAAATAAAACAAAATAAAATTGTTTATAAGTTGGGAATTTAAGGGGACGTAAGAAAATGTTAGACAAGCTTAAATTTTTTTAAAAAAATATTAGGAGATACAGGGAGGAACTAGGTTGGGACCCATAGTCCCAAAATTGGTTCGGTCTTAACTAATTCCCATCTAAATGGATATTTCAAATTAGAAATTTTCGGCTTTTAAAATGCTAGTCAATACATAGTGAAACCATTTTAGTCAACAAATAGCAAGAGTATTTTGATAATTTTATATGAAAAAAAAATAAAACATTTCGTATAGAAACCCTAATTCTTCATATTATTTCATGATAGACTTTTTTTATTTATTTTTGTTTCAAGCGGCATAAGGAAATCCCTAAAGATTTCACAGTACCCCTTCATCTCTTATCTCCATGTTTTATTGACTTTTGACTATGAAAAGTAATCTCAACAAATCGATTTTATATCATTTCATTTCAAAAAGTTTATATAGATCCGAGGCTCTAAACAATCAAATTAGAGTCCACCTCAAAAATTTTACTAGAGGAGGTTGATTTGATACTCAAAGATCATGAAATTGATCATCTCGACATCAAGATGCATGGACATGAGAAAAAAATGGATTTTTTGTTTTAAAAATAGTACATCTTGTAACGCATTTTTTTCGTGTTAATTTTCAAGATTTTCATAGATTTGCTCGATTTATACTATTTTTGAAGCTTTAAATTTTATAATTAAAAATGAAAATATTTTAAGACTATCACAAAGGTTTCCGAAATTCAAACCTCATTTCTCACGGGATTTGAAGGTACACTTTGCTTTTATTGCTCAGAAACTCTGCTCTATGCAAACCAACCCATAGTATTAAATAATTGAACTCTCACAAGTAATCCAAGGGACTAATAAGTTGACAAGCCTACATCTTTCTTTCAACTTTGCTATGATCAATGCTACAAAGCACATGATAGCAATTGAATAAAAATTTCAATGGTCATAGCATGGCCCAAGTTAACCATGGTTAGTGACCCACACTTTGTGTCCCACATTAGAAAGAGAGGAGTAGAGAGAGAGAGAATTGTAGAGAGAGATAGAGATGCGAGAGAGAAAGGAGAGGAGAGTAGAGAGAGAGAGAGAGAGAGAGAGAGAGTACGTTAGTTACGTACGAAGTACTACGTAGTGGTACTACTTACGTTAAGGTAGGAGGTAGTAGTACTATATAGTCGACGACGACGACGGTAGGTT